AGTTTTCTTCTTCGTTCATCAGGTATATGGACATAACCTTCTGAACCAAAAATTCTTATATGTTCAAGGGTAGGTTTTCTTCCATGCCACAGTTCATATGGCGATATATTTTTCGTTTGTGTAGAAGAACTTCTATTCAATAAATAGATTGAACAGTTCACTGCTTCAGCCCAAAGGTTTAATGAGATATCACGAGAGTACAACATAGCTCTGAAGCTTTCACAATCATTTTATTGAGTTCTGTGTTTTGCTCATAAATCGATTCTAACTTTAACATTATTTCTTTAGCCGATTCACAATTTCAATTAGTGAAATTTGATTCAACTCCATTGATGAAGTTATAATAAACATGGCCATACCATCGTTTTTCTCCCACTGGCTAATATCACCCGTTGTGTGTCTAGCTACATCTATATTCAAGCTTTTTGCTCTTAAGGCACATTTAATTTGGAACTTCCATTGCCTGAATTCTTTGCCGTTAATATTTTCAATTCTCATTGCATTCGAAACTTCCATATTGAATATCGTAATGCCGACAACTCACAATTTTCTTTTACTTATAAGTTTACGTTGCTCTTTATTTAATCCGGTTAAAAATACGTATCTGGGCCCATAACCTATTGGGATTTTATTAATATTTCGGATTAAATAAGAATTCTGATGATATAATGGAACACTTTTATTCTTGTTTTTTTTTTTTATAATGAGAACCAAAAACAATCAGACCATAGACTACAAAACAAAAATCAGAAAAAGAAAACAATGTCCATGCAAACCATAAATAATAGCAAAGAGTATACAATACTCTATAAATATGTTTATACAATTTATAACTTAACAGTCTGCTTTTACGAATCCGCCTTCCTTGATTATTAGAAGTTTGTAAAAAAAAATAATAAAAGTCGTCAGCGTAGCACAGCATAGCTTGTCGTTAGGAGTGTATTTAGATGTACTATACAAATACAAAAAACAAACAGCTGTTGTGGTTTGGCAATTTCACTATTTTTTTTTTAACTTCTTTATTAATTATGTTTATTTCTTTAAGAATATTTACAATAATAATGTAGTATATTATTATGAACTAATGAGTATTTTTAGATGTACTATACATAAACTTTTAACATTATAGGTTGACAGCTGTCACTTTAGTTATACGTTACTATAATAATATGTATTTCTTGAAAAAATAAAAACAATATTTTTCTTTTGTATAAGCGACTATGTGTCTTACGTCTATGAAAACACGGTTCAATTTCCTATGAACAATAACAGTAGAAAATAACGTTTGTATGGGAACACCACTTATTTATGAACTTTTTGTTACTTTTGGATTTTTTCCATTGGTTACACACAATAACAGAGCTGTATTCCAAATTTCAAAGTTCTAGGACATCTGGAAGTAGGTTAGAAGCGACTATGTGTCTTATAGTAATGTAAACACGGTTCAATTTACTATGAACAATTATAGTGGAAAAGTACGTTTGTATGGAGACAACCCTTATTTATTAACTTTTTGTTATTTTTGGATTTTTCCCTTTGGTTACATACAATAACCGAGCTGTAATTCAAATTTCAGTTCTAGGACATCTGGAAGTAGGTTAGAAGCGACTATGTGTCTTATAGTAATGTAAACACGGTTCAATTTCCTATGAACAATTATAGTGGAAAAGTACGTTTGTATGGAGACAACCCTTATTTATTAACTTTTTGTTATTTTTGGATTTTTCCCTTTGGTTACATACAATAACCGAGCTGTAATTCAAATTTCAGTTCTAGGACATCTGGAAGTAGGTTAGAAGCGACTATGTGTCTTATAGTAATGTAAACACGGTTCAATTTCCTATGAACAATTATAGTGGAAAAGTACGTTTGTATGGAGACATTTGAATATCAAGCTCCAGGTGTGCTGCTGGTGGTCTTGAATAATAAAAGACTTCGGTATGATGAGAAGACTGTATTTAAATAGGTACTGATTGTTAGGGTCAACCGATATGTGCGCACGGCGTCGTGACGGGCGAGCGAGTGAATGCATGACCGCCGATCGCAGCAGTCGCGGGCCACGTATGGTGGTGAGCCCGATGTGACGTCAGGAACATACTCCCCGGGTTGAAGAGAAGGCTTCAAGTTCATGTTACGCCACCGGAAGAGGGCAGATGTTGTTGTAGGCACGTGTGATGATGCCTTTCCTCGTACGAACGTCAGCGACTCGACAATGTCCGTCCGAGCCAGTTTTAACTGCTACTACTCTGCCCAGCAGCCAGAGAAGAGGAGGGAGATTGGCATCCCTCACTAAGACCATGGTGCCAGTCTTCAGGTCTTGTCCAGCTGTTTGCCATTTGGTTTTCTGCTGCAGAAGAGACACATACTCATTACAAAAGCGTTTCCAAAAATGTTGTCTCAGTTTCTCAACGCGATCGAAACGCTGCAGTCGCTGGATGTTGGCGTCAGTCAATAATGGACGAGGGACTGAAGTGAGTGGCCGTCCGATAAGGAAATGGGAAGGAGAAAGATAAGATAGATCAGAAGGATCAGAGGATAGAGGAGTTAAGGGTCTGGAATTTAATATAGCCTCTATCTGAACCAGACAAGTAGAGAGCTCCTCATAAGTAAGGTGAGTTAAGCTCATGACTCTACGAAGTAAATGTTTTGTGGATTTTACTGCTGCCTCCCAAATGCCACCGAAATGTGGGCTGTAGGCTGGTATAAATTTAAATTCGATGCCTTTGTTTGCAAGGGCTGATTCTATGTCTTTTGATGAAACCTCAAAGAAACGTGACAGCTCATTGAAAGCTCCCACAAATGTTGTGCCATTGTCGGAGTACACGCGCTGAGGCTTCCCACGACGGCTAATGAATCGGCTGAAGGCCGCAAGAAAAGCCTCCTTGGTCAGGTCGGAAACCAGCTCCAAATGAACGGCTCTGACTGCAAAGCACACAAACACACAAATATAAGATTTAAGTAACTGACATCCTCTACCCCTACGATTGGCTATCAGCACTGGCCCGGCGTAGTCAAGACCTGTGTTCAAGAAGGGATACTCGAGATGGGTTCTATCCTGTGGCAGGTCGCCCATGACAATCTGTACAGGCTGAGCCTTGATCCGAGTACAACGAACACACTTACGCACTATATGCTTGGCTAAGTTCCTGCCCGCCAGAGGCCAGTAAGACAGTCTTATGTGAGCTAAGAGTAATTGAGGCCCTGCATGAAACAGTACAATGTGTTCGTTTTCAAATATAAGTTGTGTTATATGATGTTTGCTACATAATAGTATAGGATGTTTAACATCGTAGCTGTAATGTGAATTGTTAAGACGTCCACCAACGCGTATTAGATTGTCTGAATCAATGAATGGAGAAAGACTTATTAATCGATTCTTTTTATGTAAGGGCTGATTAGATTTAAGACATGTATATTCCTCAGGGAACATTTCCTGCTGGGAAATATGTAATAAAAGATTTTGTGACGATTTTAACTCTGATACTGTTAGGTAAGATGATTGTTTATTATTCGGTTTTTTACAATTATTTATAAATCTTTTTATATAGGCCACTACTCTGATCAATAACGTAAATGAAGATTTATTATGAATTAAACTGGAAATTAAATTAATGTTAGTTATGTTATGCATGTCAGCTGTTGTGTGTAACGTTAATTCTGGTAATAAATGCGTATTATTATTTTGTAAAGTAGGAAATTGAATCTCACTTTGATTAATGAAATCAGGGCCTGACCACCAAAGAGTGGATGAGCTGATGCAATCAGCCTTCACCCCCCGAGAAGCGAGATCGGCGGGGTTGCTTTTAGATGGCACATAATTCCATGTCTGGCCGTTCGTAGCTTCTTGGATTTCACTCACTCTATTGCGAACAAATTGTTCGAGGCGACTTGGCAATGTTTTCAGCCATCCTAGAACGATCGTTGAATCGCACCAAAAATAACAATGATGAAATTTTAGAGTAAGTGATTTACGTACCTTCAGAAAAAGTCTTGTACCCAATAAAGCACCACACAACTCTAATCTTGGTATAGTTGTGGGTTTTATAGGGGCTACCCGGTTCTTTGAAGCTAACAGGCGAACGCAAACTATTCCATCGACTGTTATCGTTCTCATGTAGATACATGCGCCATAAGCACGTTCGGAGGCGTCTGTAAACGTATGTAATTCTAGTGATCTAGCATGATTACACGATACCCAACGAGGAATGTAAAGAGAGTTAAGTGCTGAAAGTGATTGTATGAATTCAAGAAATTGTGATTTTATTTCTGGAGGAACTTCATCATCCCAATTACATTTAAGTATCCAAAGCTGCTGTAATATAAGTTTGACCTGAACTATGCATGGTCCAACTAGACCTAGAGGATCAAACACTTGGCTAATTAAAGATAAAATATTACGCTTTGTGATTTTTGTAATTGGTTTTACATCGATAAAATAAAATAATTTGTCTGTATTGCAGTTCCAATATAACCCAAGTGTCTTGTGGCAAGTATCACTTAAGATTAATTGTTTATCACTGCTATATGTGTTGATATTTGTGACGCATTTTAATATTTCTGGATTGTTTGATTGCCATTTCCTAAGATGAAAGCGAGCAGATTCAAGAGCTTTAACTACTCCTTGACATACGCGTGTGACTGCTTCGATTGAATCTGCGCCACTAAGATAGTCGTCGACATAAAAATCACGTCTGATAGACTGACTAACTTCTGGATCTGAACATTGATCTGCAAGAGACACAAGACATTTAGTGGCCAAGTATGGGGCTGATGCTGTACCGTACGTCACTGTATTTAGTGCATACGTTTTTAAAGGGTCTGATGAATTTGATCTGAAAACAATTTGTTGCAATGGGCGTTGAGATGGTTCCACTAAAATAGCTCGATACATTTTTTCTATGTCGCCCGTTACGACATACTTGTGTTGTCTGTATCTTAAAAGTATGGACAGTAGATCCTCCTGTACGGTTGGACCCACCATCTGAATATCATTAAAAGACTTGCCCGAGGTACTGGAGGCAGAAGCATCAAAGACGACACGAAGCTTTGTCGTAGTACTTGACTCCCGTACGACCCCGTGATGAGGCAAAAAGTAATGGGTTTCTGAATGAATTGGTTTTGAATATTGTGTCATATGATGAAGATCAATATATTCTTGCATGAATTGTAAGTATCTGTTTTTAAATGTCGAGTCCCGCTCAAATCTTCGCTCTAGGGAAAGGAAACGACGCTTGGCCATTGCATACGAGTCACCTAAGCACTCGGGCGAGTCCTTTAAAGGTATAGTGACAACGAATTGACCATTTGGGTCCCGACGTGTGGTCTCGGAAAAGAGCTTTTCACAAGCTTGCTCTTCTGCAGAGAAGCAGCTAGCAGACGACACAGTATCAAGTTCCCAGAAGCGAGTCAGCTGGTCAGACTCCTCATGTGAAAGGAAATGACAAACAGAAGGTTGTGAACGAACACGAAGCTGACTAACGTAGCCCGAAATAAGCCAACCGAGTTTGGATGATTGTAATTTAGGTTGTTTATTGCCTAAATTAATGGTATTGGAACCTATGACGTCCCAAAATACCTCAGCGCCTACGAGGATGTCAATAGCAGCGGGAATGTTATAAGTAGGATCTGCTAGTTGAATACCTGGCGGTATGGCAATATATCTCTTATCGACATATGAACCCGGCAGCGATTGCGTAATCTTTGGCAGGATGTAACAGCTTACCCTCGCCTGATAACTACCGTAACAAGATTGCAAAATAAGATTGCAGCTTTCTGAGGTACTAGAAACTTGACCGTTAATACCTGAGACAGTGGAGTTAGTGCTGTACGTTACCAGGCCAAGTTTCTCACAGAGCTCTCGGGTCACGAAGTTTGAGGTGCTGCCGTTGTCCAACAGGAGTCTGACAGTATGAAGTTCACCATTGACATCGGACACCTTTGCCAAGGCTGTGGATAGTAAAATTGTAAAGTTATTAGTATCTGAGTAGGGTAAAGTAACATTGGTAGATAACGCAACACTGTGTCCTGCCTGTTGTTCTGTAGATGAATCCTTGTGTAAAAGGGTATTGTGTTTCACTTTACAATATTTGCAATGTGATAAACTGCAACGCTTCGCTGTATGACCAGGTCGAAGGCAATTTAAACAAACATTGCTTTCTATCGCCTTTTTAAATCTTGATTCAATATCTAAGTTTCTGAATGTTTGACAGCTAAATAAAAAATGATTTTGAGAGCATGCTGGACATTTAATGTCGTCCTTATTGTAAGTAGGTTTAGGTTTTGTTATTATTGTATGATATGTTTTTGATTTATTGTAGTCGTTAGAATATTTAGTGTTTGTATTATTTGAAAATGTGGTGTTTCTGTTGTAATTTAAGGAGTCCAAAAAGTCAGCTCTGTTATTTAAAAATTTAATATATTCCTTTAAAGTTGGAAATGAATCTAAATTATTTTTATATTCCTCCCATTCCCTGCGTGTGGCTCTGTCAAGTTTTTCTGACATAATATAAATTGTAAGGGTTTCTCCAAGACCCCCATGCTCACAAGACTGCCCTAATGTTAACAAAGCACGTATGTTTTTATTAGTTACATCAATCATGTTGCGCAATTGACTACAAGATTCTTGTTTTATATGTTCAAATTTAAATAATGCCTGCACGTGATTATTTATAAGTATTTTTTCATTATTGTATCTTTCGATCAACAATTGCCATGCCAAATCATAATTATCAGCTTTAAAATCAATGCTTTTTATAATTAAAGATGCACTACCTTTTAGGGCTGCACGTAAATAATGGAATTTGTTTATTTTTTGTATGCTGGAATTAACATGGATTAGGGAAATATACGTATCTCTAAATTCGAGCCAGTGCTGATAGTCCCCGTCGAAATGAGGCAAGTCTATCTTAGGCAGACGAACAAAGTCGTGCCTGCAGTCAGGTCCGCGGTGCTGAAGAGCGTCAGTGGAAATGGCAGACTCGAGTGCAGGCGAAGATGCACGCACAGGAACCAGAATGGTTTGCGCGCGCGCCACGTGCGCATGGAACTGCGCCTCGAACTGCTCCCTTTCGGCATACATGTCGTCGGCGTTCTCCGACAATATTTCCAGCTCGGTCTGTAACACGTCATACTCCTTATAAAGTATTTGCATTAGGCTAAGACGGCTTTGTAGCTCTGCTGTTTGAAAACTGTCTAACTCCGTGTCAGGCAGAAATTTTAAAAAGTTACTAAAATGTGTAAGCTTGGCTTTGAAGCTGCCACGCTTCTTTATCAGCTCCTTAACCTTTGCATCGGACATACTGAGTAAGCAGAAAGGTGTTTAAGATGAAGCAAAGAGTTAAAATTACAAAAAAAGGCAAAGAAACAATAACGTAAGCAAGTGACGAGTACCTGTACTAGTATACGTCAATAGTTGACGAAGATAAATAACAGCTGATTTAGCTAATATGCATTCAATAAAAACAGTTTGTATAAAATATTAAAGTTGTTTATCCAGTTTAAAGAACCAGATGTTCAAGCATGCGATAAGCGAACAAAAGAAATATCTATAGGTACTTTATAGCAAAGATTGTTCGATGCAATATGATTTTTAGATAAATTGTAAACGTGATTTGTGATGATGGATGATTTTTAATTACTGTTACTTTGGCTATGTATGTACTGAATAAGCTATAACTATGAAGAGATCAATCCATGCCTGATCCGTATAGCACTATTTAAATCCTTGGAATGGAAATAGGCAAAACACAGGAAATAGGGATAAATGGAACGGACTCACTCAGAATTATGACCCTCTGGGTAGACTGTTCGTTACGTCGTCGTTCTGTGTCTTCCACGTTGCAGCGACCACGCGTCCGGACGGCCAGTCCAAAGTCCACAGAAGGCATGCGCAGCTTAATAAGACGGCGATTCCCTTGATTCGAAGGACCAATGTTTGAATATCAAGCTCCAGGTGTGCTGCTGGTGGTCTTGAATAATAAAAGACTTCGGTATGATGAGAAGACTGTATTTAAATAGGTACTGATTGTTAGGGTCAACCGATATGTGCGCACGGCGTCGTGACGGGCGAGCGAGTGAATGCATGACCGCCGATCGCAGCAGTCGCGGGCCACGTATGGTGGTGAGCCCGATGTGACGTCAGGAACAGGAGACAACCATTGTTTATTAACTTTTTGTTATTTTTGGATTTTTCCCTTTGGTTACACACAATAACCGAGCTGTATTCCAAATTTCAAGGTTCTAGGTCATCTGGAAGTAGGTTAGAATTTGCTACTATATGTCAGTCAGTCAATACTAAAATTTGCGAACTTTTGACCTTCATATCTTTATGAAAGTTTGAGCTACCTTCATGAAATTTTGGATTCTACATGTCCGTGACTTATAGAGGGGTCAAAAGTGGCACGAAGTGGTTCGTGTAAAGATACACTGTGGCGCGCGCTGTTTGCTGAACTTGACTGATGCGCGTCGGCGCGTCTCGATAACTAAAAATGAATAAAAAATAAAATAAAATCTTTATTCAGAAATGTAAATGGACACAGATACAAAAATATTTTATAGGTGAATAAAATAGATCTGTTTATATATATAACTGTTTTTGAAGCAAGAGATTGGTCTTCAATACTTTCATAATTGGAATATTTTTGCTCGCAAAGTTTGACTAACATTCGTGCTCGGCTTCCCATTGTAATAGCTTAAAATTTTGAAGAAATAATATTTTAGTTAGGTTATAATCGATATCAAATTATTACAATTAGTCATATGTAATTGTTATTGTTTGTAAAACATTTTAGAACAATATTGGCGTAATTACATTTAGATCTAAAAAAATACCTAATGCTTCGCGAAACCACGGCGCAATTGTAAAATGCGTCATTTTATCCACGAAACTGTTCATTTTCAATAAAAGATGTCACAAAATATATATTGCGTCGTTGTTGCACCGATATTTAATAGCAATATTTGTCATATTTACCTTTGCGGCGATGTAGTCCCCTAACACGTACACACTCGGCGGGGCGCCCCGCGCAACTGACTGTTTGCCGTTGTCGTCACATATTAGCGCGCCAAAATTAAATATTTCAACAATGACTTTTCGCCCTCTAACCGGCGTTTTTTGAACTAACAAATACGACGTTTTCACTTATACCGTAGATGATTAAGGAGATTATTTTGGTGTCATTAGATCAGTTCTCATCTTTTTCAGTTATGACACTGTCGCTCCAAATTAGCGACATTGCAATAGTTCTGGGTTTGGTTTTAAAAACCATATACTGAAATAACAATGAGTGTAAACACCACGATTGCGATGGTATGTAACAAACATGGAAATATCTGAAGCAAATCAATGAATATAAGACAGTAAGTTGAGTTTTCATAACTTGTAATAAAAACAATAAAATAAATTGACTGCACGGTTGGTGCGGTGACTGGGCAACGGGCTGCCGTGCAACGTGTCGCGGGTTCGATTCCCGCACGGAACAACACTTTGTGTGATCCACAAATTGTTGTTTCGGGTCTGGGTGTCATTGTGTATGTGAACTTGTATGTTTGTAAACGCACCCACGACACAGTAGAAAATCCTAATGTGGGGCAACGTTTTTTTAAAGAAAAAAAAAACAAATTGACATAATTAAAAAAGGTTTTTATTCATTGACCGTCTCGTTTAATGAGCAGAATGGTTAAGCAAGGCACTAATACAAATTTAAAGTAAAAAAAATGTCTAAACCATCACTTAAATTTCCATTAGAGGATCTTGTACATCAATCATCATTTATCATCATTGTTTGTGTCGCGGCTCGAAATTTTTATACCTTTAGGACCTGCCAGGAATTCTCAAAGAATTAATTGAGAATTTCTGGATTTTGATTTTGGTGGTACATTTTCATGCAAGCGGTGATACATAATGCTACCTTACAAATTTCGCATTCATATTTTGACCGCTTTTCTTGTTTTCTTGTGCTACAAAACCTACACCGTTTGTATGTAGACAATGCTAAAAAATTATTCCCTCTTTGCCCCTGTCTTATTTCGACCGGAACTCCAAATACACCTCCTTTTTTGATTTTATATACCACCGGATCTTGTTTTTTGTTCGAGATATGGCCCGATTTCAAACTTCTAGCTAACCGTAATCGGAAATCGCGATGTATGTTTTTACGATTTTGATTATTATGTTTATATAAAATATATGCGTTTATAATGGCACTCTCAAACAAGAACCAAAATATCCGGAACCAGGACTTTTTTTTTTGATTTGCGGCCAATCGAATAGGAACTTCGATAGTGATCAAAGTGATGCACACCACCCATACTCTTTGTGTACTCTGTCATCGCAGTTGGACAAAACATGTCTTACTTTTGCCCATTCTTTTGAGTTCTCTGAATCACTTTAACTTTGGTTGGGTTAATTAATACACCACATGGATCGCAGAAGCGGTATGTAAACTCCACAGGATCCAATTAATTTTCTTTGGCCTATCTTCAGCTGTTTTTGGGCGTGGTGGACACAGTTCTTTAGGTACACCTTTTCGATTCGTTCTTACTGTTCCTGTTGCCAAAATACGATAAAGAGCTTCCATGGAAGCTAAAGACGAGAAAATGTTGTCAAAAACCAAATGTGTGTTGTAAATTCCCTCCAAGTTTTATTACAACTCTGTAACCTAATCCTTCCACATTGGCTTCTTGGTCTTTGCCTGTCTAAATATCAAACTGATATAAATATCCGGTCTTGGAATCGCAACGGCACCATGCCTTTTTTTTTCTAAGGGGGGATAATCATGACTACTCGCTCATGGGTGAGGCGAGAGGGGGTGTCAGACTCTTACTGACTAAAAACCACCCCGTTCCTTCTCCTACACGTCGAGCCGGAGCCCCGGTAACCCGTTAGATTCTCTGCGACACGGCACCATGCCTTGAACCCTCTTTTGATGGGCTTGGCAGGCATGTACAATTGTACATACTGTTTCTTAGCGTCGCGCCCTTTAAATTTGATCATACTTTCATCCACTGATTGGGATTCTATGAAAAGTTAGGTTGAGAAAATCTAACAGGGGTTTATTTATAATTATACGGTTATATCTCTATTTTTGTCTACTGTACGTTGGCGAGCCTGTCGTGATTCAGGCTCCCGCGCGCTAGAGGCCTTGGATGGTAAATCTTGAAGTTTAAGATTCAAAGGGTGCAACACGAGAACGATTCAAGTGTACTTACAGATATTTCATTTCTGGTTAAAAAAAAAAGAAAATGATTTTAAATTAATTTAATTATTGAATAATTAATACAAAATTAACCCTATGAATGATGATTCTAATTCGAAGTGGGATAATAGAATGATCATTCTTACAATATATTGAACCAACGACAACTTGCGAAATCGTTTGACGTCAAAGGTGCAACAGCAGTTAATTAAAATAATAAGTATTGGTGCGGATGCAATATCAGCGATCTTTATATAGTGGCTATATGTATTAACTACAAAAAAAAAACATTATTGTAATATGATACATAGATATTGCACTAAGAAAAAGATCAATAATCAACTCTGTATACTAATTTAAATAAAGCATAAATCACTTGTTTTCAAGAGATTGCTGTTCTTGATAATGTGATCTCAAGAATATAAGGGCATCCAAGATTCGATCAGAAATACCCAGCACTCGAAAACACCCTTTCACTCTCAACACTTGTTGATAGAACACATAATAAATAATTATATGCTTCGGTAAGATACACACCCCGATGGCCTCCGCTTTCATACATGGCTTGCTCTACTTTTACGAAACCAGCCAGGTCGAATTCTGACCGATTTTTGGGGGTTCTCTTTCTCTAGCATTATATTGTGTAATTCCTTCTCTAGCTGCTCTTGAAGAGTTAGCTCAATAATGGGAAAACCGGAGTTGGGCTCCAGTTTTGTATTGTTGAATCTTATTGTCTTTATTTTTCAATATCTTTGCACGTTTCTTTCTAGCCCGTTTCATTCTTGCCTCAACTAATGCATTTTCTGACGACCTTAATGGCGTCGGACATTCGAATGTTGGGCCAACAGTAGTACCTGGTGTATTTTCCTTGACAACAGTATTAGTTATTTCATTAATGGCCTTTTTTTGTCTATATTTAGTACAGCGCTCTATCCAAGTTTTTTTGGCAGCCTTATGCTCGCGATGACTCATACATATTTCCTTAACCAATTTTATGGTCCCTTTTTCCTTCTTATTTTCAGAAATGTCATGTCATGTCAATTTGATGTATGCAAATCTTGCAATTAGTCATGAATATAGCACAAAATTATGTCAGGAAACTAAGAAAGATAAAAGTTTGCAATTGTTAAAGAAATATTATTATGAAGGATGGCCTAAAAATAAAAATAATGTAGATCCGTTATTAAAACCATATTGGAATATTCAAGCTGAAATTCATGTCATTAAAGATTTAATATTTAAAGGCTCAAAATTAAAGTCAATGTATAGAGAAATGTTAGAAAGAATTCACAAAGGTCACCAAGGTATAAATAAATGTTTAAAATTAGCTAGAGAATCCTTATATTGGCCAAATATGTCTACAGATATAAAAAACATTGTAGAACAATGTTTAATATGTGCTAAATTCAAACCATGTAATCAAAAGGAACCACTACAACAACTAAAACAGTTGTTTTATTGTTATTCATTTATTATTACTAGAAAATGTGGAATTCAAAAAGGTTTATGACAATTAAAGTTTTTAAAAAAATTGGAAAAAGTACAATTTAGGAAACTGGTTTCCTTAATTGTACCACAGGTATCCTAAATTGTACTTCACAATCTTATTGAGATTTAAGTGCTTCTTATAAACTAAAATTAGTCTTATTGTTATAAATGTATCTTTATAAAAAATATTATCTCAAAGTTTTGAGTATTAACAACGTACATAAGTCTCCAAATTAAATTCGAATCAACAACAAGAACACAGTAAATAGGAGTTTTATTTAAAACTAGTTATGGTTTCTCTTCTTCTCTTCTCGCGCCTCAAAGAGCCATCAGACCACCACAGATGGGGCCCAATAGGGCCGATGCCGATTCGGAGTCGCGGAGAACCTAACGGGTAACCGGGGCTCCGGCTCGACGTGCAGGAGAAGGAACGGGGTGGTTTTTAGTCAGTAAGAGTCTGACACTCCCTCCCGCCTCACCCAGGCGGGGGCAGTCATTCGATGATTTTCCCCCCTTAAAAAAAAAAAAAAAAAAAATGGTTTCTCTTATTCTAAATAAAGCTTTCATATTTAAGTACTAAAATCAGCCTTGCAATTTCAAATAGTTGCACAAAAGATTATGTAAATAAAATTTGGAATGAAAAAAAGTTATTTGAAAAAAGTAGGTTAATCAACTCTTTTCTTTTTCAAACATTTTTCACATATGTCAGGGTTGTCTCCGCATGTTTCGTGAAACCATTTTTGGCATCGTAAACACTTAACCCATTCCACTTTTGGTCCCTTTTTATCAAAGTAATAGCCATTACATATACAGCAATAATTTTCATCTTCCATCTCAATTTCTTCATTATCGTCAGATTCGTCTTGTAGCACAACTTCTTCTATTTCAGATTCACTACTTATGGACTCTTTTTTCACTTTCCTATTTTTAATCTGTAATTTAGGTGTTTTCTTTCCTTTTTGATTTTGTTTTAGAGTCGCTGTCCCAGGTTTAGCTTTTAATTGCTGTAGCTTAGGAATTCTTGCTGATTTTTTTGCGTTTGCCACTTCCAGTTCTTTTTTATAGGGGCTCTCAGTAAGTACAATTGCCTTTTGAGGTTTTGTATTTCTTTTTTGGGTTGGTTTGGATACCGGTAGCAGAGATGATATTCCAATTTTCAAGTGTGGTGATGCTTCTTCATTGCAGTGGCGTGCACAGGTTTTCGAGACAGGGTAGGCAACTAAATATCGTATGATTAAACCCCTCCCCCCCGCCGGTCATACAATCATGCTCACACAAGATAGGTACATGTACATAATACATTTCGAAAAGTGCGTTCAAGAATATTGTGGTGTATTCTTTCGCCAAATTACATACACTGACATCTCGCGTATTTTTTGTGAACTACTTCATCAGCTATGGAATAAGCCAACAAAACTTACAAATAATAAAAGATCTATTATTTATTTTAATAATGGAGCATAAATTTGATGAACCAAATTTCATTATGGAATTGTTAAGTTTAATCATAACATAACA